CTCTCTCTCTCTCTCTCTCTCTCTCTCTCTCTCTCTCTCTCTCTCTCTCTCTCTCTCTCTCTCTCTCTCTCGCGCGCGCGCGCGCGCGCGCGCAGGGCTCCTAGGTCCGTTACTCCCTCTTTTCGCCATATGTACTTTGCACGAGGGGGGAGGTTTCATGTTGAGGCGCTTGAGCTTGAGCAACCTCAGCACACTGTCGCGCGCGGTGGTCCCGCACCCTGCTAGGAGCGTTGAACCTCACGGTCGTGTCACGCAGGATTTTTCTTTAGAGTTTGAACGAATCAATCACCACTCCGGCAGGATTTGCCTTGCGCACAGATGTCCTTTTTAATGTGAGTGTGGGGAGATGTTGTTCGATCAGCGGCACGGCAACGACAGTGTATCTTGTGGGGTTACACCACCGAAGTTTTGACTCGGTGGCAATTTTTAGTGAGGAAGTGCTGCCGTTTTTTTTTTTGGCACGGCGGCAGCGACGTTATCAGCGGGGGAGTGCTGCCATTTTTATTTTTGGCACGGTGGCAGCAACATTTTTTATTGGGATTATGCTGCTGATTTTATTTGGCGGCGGCACAACATTGTGAAGGGAAGTGCTGTTGGATTTACTGCTCGACGTCAACGTTGGCATCAACATTTATATGGTTGTATGAGAAAGTGTTCTTTGTTTGGCACCACGACAGGCGGCGGTGCTGCTAGATAACCGTGGTACCAGTTTTGGCGATACGGCGAGTGGGGGCCGCCGTTGTTTTTTTGTGGTGCGCAGCGGTTATGGTGGATCCCCGTGTGGCCTAGAGGTTAGGCTTGCGCTGGTGCACAATTAGGACTGAGCGGTAGTGGTGCATAGGTTGGCGGCATGAAGGGAGCGTGGAGTGAGTGCTCGCGGCAGTAGCTATTAGAGTTGCAGCACTTGCAGTTTGTGCCGAAAGGACATCCTTATTTTTTAGGCTCGCGGCACCTGCAGGTTTCACCGGGGGTCACCTTTTTTTTTTTTGCAGCGCGCAGCGCAAGCGGCTTTGAGTTTTGAACTATCTGGGATTGCGGGTGATAGTATGGGATTGCATTGAGACCATCTGGGACCATTTCGGGATTAGGTGGGACTAGTTGTTGTGATCGGGACCAGCATGTTGGTGTGGCTATTGTGAGCGGACGTGGTGATGGGAGGCGACGTGGACTTGCGGCTGGTTGGGAAGTATCCTTGGTGGTCAAGGTGCAATTGAGACTGTGTTAGGATGGTACAGGACGTTCGAATGATGTGAGACTTGATCATGGAACTACCCTCCTTGAGAGTTATTTCATTCAGACATCTGAGTGGGCCCAACCTTAGTGTGATTGGGCACTTAGTGGAGGACGCGGACCATGGCTGAGGAGAAAGGTCACAACTTGTGGAGTTGTGAGCTGTGTATTTTCATGTAAGTCGCATATTTTCATATTCAACGGCAATCATTTTCTTTGATTGGAATATTACCCGGCTTTCTTGAGTGAGCCGGACCAAACTTCACTCAAGGTCAGTCAGTAGAATGACTCAGATTTCTCTTCACACCTGTGTGAACCCACACTTGTTTGACCCTGTTCATTGAATGTTCATTGAAAAGGTAAAATAATTATGTGTTTGCATGTGAATGGTGAAATCTGACTTGAGTATGGGATGGTACTGTTTTTTTTTTAGTTTGTTTTCTATGCATATTGTGCAGGTAGGTAGAAGGATGCTTGCAAAGGAGATTGATTATGCCTATTTGAGAGAAGAGAAAATGATTGTCTTCCCTTTACTTCTCACCTACCTGGATGTCAATAAGGACTCGTTGTTCTGAAAAAGGTTAATTTAATGAATGTCGTTAAATGAATACAATTGAAATAAAGTAGATAAGGTCAAACGGATTTAACTTTCTCTCAAGGATTGACTCTTTCTATCCCGAATGACCTTATCGACTTGTACCTGTTCAAATGGTTCTCATTCTCTATCTTCTCTGATTCTTTTTCGTCTAAGTTACCCTGTGTTTAGGATAAATGAAAAATATATGGAAGTTACTTTCAGTGGACACGTCTTCTATCTCTAGGAAGCATCTGGGGCGGGGGTTCGTTGCTTCAGGAGCCGGCTTTGTTATCGATTCAGAGTGGACCGTTCTACGTGAGGGTACTTTGCCGATTCGGTGGAGACGGCCCGACTTCTGAGATCTAAGTTTTGTGCTCGGGCGAGGAGGAGGAGTACCCCAGACCACTTTCTAGAGGGAGAGGCATGCAACACTTCAAGCAATGCCCCTGATCAAGATTCATTCGCAAAGAAGTCTGACAGTCAATAAGATTGAGGAAGTATGGAGATAAGTGTGCGTACCTAATTTTAGGTCGGTGGTATAATGGAATGAATAACTTGGCAGCGCGTCTCATCAAGTCAAAATTAAGGCACTCGATTACCTTGTCGGCAACATCAATGTTATTTTCGATAGCCAACTCCTCGTTGGCGGTTGTATGATTGTTTTGTAGAGCTCGACCCAGGGTGGTCGGATTTTATTTTGCTTTTGTGATATTGGATGTATTAAATGAAGATTTAGATTCTCTCAGTTATTATTTCAGATTGGATATGTTTCTATCGAATACGATCGATTCCTTTCGATGTAACTATGTATAGTCGTTACAACTTTCTTTTGATTGTGTGTTAAAGGGACTAGGATTAATGTTGGGTTTCACGCTTGGTCAAAACCGTCATAGTCGACCGACGTTTGCTCCGTACCTAGGAGATCAGCGCCCTGGGAACGGATAACGTTCGGGTTCGTTTGGCGTTAACCAAGCGTATCTATACTACATCGAACGAACAAACGCCCTCGACTGACCTACCTCTGCAATTGCATTTAAAAACTCTCGCACGTGGGTCAGTAGCTCGGTAGGGATACGCCCCTAAGGGTGGTGACAGCCCCTTAGGGAAGGAAAGTTTATGCCCCGCGGGAACCTATCCTGTCGTAGGGGACCGCGGGATGTATAGCTGGCGCACCCGGCCAGAGCGACAAAGGGACGACACAATCGCGGTCGTCTCAGCAGCTCGTGGGATTAGTTAGACGTCGTTGCTGAATTGTCTCTTGGTTTTGTTTTGTTTATCTCTTGCGTGACGTTGCCGGGAGGGCTCTCGCCTTTGCGAAAAAGGCGGAAGCTGATGTGCTCGACAGCGAGACAAACCCAAAGTATATATATCATCATAGTCCCACTGTACTCAGTAAACTTTCAGTGAGGGTAATTATTTTAGGCTGATAACTATTCCTGGTCCTTACCTTAAACCCTAACCCCTACTGTTGCTAGCCTCATTCCCCTTGCTACGACCTTCTCACCCTCTCTGTCTCCACGAAAAAACAAGGCATGTGGCCTGGATAGTTGTTATTTTACCCTTCCCTAAGGTTTTGCGGTTAAACCTATCTTTCAGGTCCTGCACTTGGTCCGGTTGCTGCCTCATCTGCCACTGTGTTTTTTTTTCACTGTGCTCAAATCTCTGTCTCCATTAGGTTTAGGAGGATCTCCCATGCTTCCTATTCATGCATCGACTTCTTCCCTATTGTAACCTGACAGAGCCTATTCCAAATTGTTCATACTGTGTACTTTCTTACGAGTTGAAATAGTTGTTTCTCGAAGGTTGGTCATCCTCTAGGGCAGTTGTGTCCCAAAAGCAAGGTCTCTTTTTCTTGCGGGAAAGACTTTTGCGTCATCTGTTTCCAGAGGGTTCAGGCTATTTCCCATAGGCTCTCTGCCTTTGGGCATGTCAGCAGGTTGTGCTCCATTGTTTCCACATAGCCCTGTTGGCAAACTGAACACAAGGCGTTGGAGGGGTCCCTTCTTGCTCGACTTCTTTTCTCGTTTAGCTAAGCTTTTACCGACAGGGGTACGTGGGCAATTAGCCACTGCAAGCTTCTGACCCGGCCAAGTCTGATCCTATTGATCGTTGACCATGGTATTGCTGGTGGGCCTCGATGTCGGTGTCAAGGTGTCGCATTTTTGGCGGCGGGTGACCAGGACGCAAAGTGGGTTTTTAGGGGGCAAAAACATTTGGGGGACCGGTCATTGGAAAAATTGCGAACTACCTACAGTTAGCTCTTGTAGAACCATAACTTTTGGAAAAAGGAAGGACCAGTTCTCGGGTGGAAGCAGACCCCAAAAAAGAAGTGGGGGGCGTTGGACCATTCCTCGAGTGGAAGAATACCCCAAAAAGAATTGATGGCATGTGAACTGCAAAAGGGCCTTCAGACTCAGAAGTTGAGGCCAGTCTTCTCAAAACAAGGAGGTCATGCAAAACGAAACAGGTGTTTTGCAAGACTCAACTTTTGCGATTTTCTGTGCTCGGACGAATCCGCAAAATAATCTAAAATTTTGAAAATTCATAGATGAGGTCGTATTCTTTCCAGTAACATTTTTTAAAATTCATTTAGACTGTGAAATAATCGTCACGCCAATTCGGCACATTTTTCATTTTTTGCAACTCAACCATATGTGGGCCAAACTAAAAAAATACTCCAAATTCAATAAATTTTCTCGCTTAGAAGAATATGTAAAAACCCTGAAAATTGGAGTACTCGTAAATTTTGTTGTGATTTTTTCAGGAAAAATGCTCAATAAATTTTGAGAAATCATTCAAACCGTGAAATAAATCGCAACCGCAATTTGAGCCATGTTTCAATTTTGCCACTCAGCATCTCTCTCTCTCTCTCTCTCTCTCTCTCTCTCTCTCTTTCTCTCTCTCTCTCT